AAGTTTTATTTAAATATTTTAGCATTTTAAAAAAGTAAATCAAAGCTAAAAAAGTGCAAAAACACAGGCAAATTTGCTTGCGTTGGTCTACATATTAAGGGATAGCAATTCTCCTATTTGGAAATGTAGAATATTCAATTTGGTTTAGTTAGTGAAGATCATAAATAAAATATAATACGTATAAATGAATTTTTGTTCTACATAATTTGCTACGTATAATGATTAGAGTATCTAGAAATTTGTGCAGAATTCTGCTCTTGTTCTGCTCACTGAATAATAACCTATTGGTTGTAGTTTGTTGTATTTAAAATTTTTTAGTTAGAGCAGTAAAATTTTGGATACTCTAATTATTAATAGAATCGTTAACTGTTAATGATATAAATTATCTAATAATAATCTAAAAAAAATTTTTTTTTTGTAAAATCTAGATTTTTTAAGCTAATCCATTTTAAATTTATTCGTGAATAATATTTATATGCAATCTTTATAATTATTTTACTATCGCTATTATTTAAAAGCTTGTCTTAGTTTTGCTATATGTTAGAATTTTTAGAGTTCTTTATTTATATATTAATGGATTTATCAACAATGTAAGTTATTATTCGATTAGCTTCTGTAAATATTGAAATAAAAAGTAATAAAAAATCTTGTGTTTAAGTTTTATAATCAAGTTTTTCTTCGTAATGGATCAATTTACTGGTCAATTTGCATATACTCCAGCTCTGTTTATTGATTATGCTCCACCTTCTCAAGATAAAAAAATCAATTCTCGTCAATCTAAAACTTCAAATAAATATGAATTTGTAGAAAGTGAACCAGATTCTGATGAAGTTATTCCAAGTAAATTTTGGAAAGATTCTGAGACACGAGCTTTGCTTTCTTTACTTGCTGAAAATTTTGATATGTATCGCAAAAATAAAACAAAATTCTATGCTACTGCTGCAATTAAAATCGGTAATAATAGAACTAGTACTCAAGTTAATGATAAAATCCAGTCACTTCGATCTAGATATGAGAAAGAAAACAAGGAAGAAACAGGAAAAGCTAGATCGAAGTGGCCATATTTGGACGAAATGAATGAACTATTCGGAAATAGGGAGAATGTGAAGCCAGACTACTTAATATCTAGCATTGATAATAATGATAATAAGGTAAAAATAATAAATACAATTGATTTTAGTAAAAATCTGATTTTTACCTATTTACTAATTGTAATTTTATTTAATAGCATACTGAAAGTGATATCGAAGATCAGGTTGTTTCTAAAAATAAAAAACGAAAAGTTTCGAACATAAAAATAAAGTAGTTATCCGGTTAGAAATTTGTTAAGAATTAATTATTTATTATGTTTAATATGTAAAAATGTAAAAGTTAAAGCTGAAATTGCAAGTCATATGATTGCAAGTTACTAAATAGTTATTTAGATTACATATTAAAAATTTAGATATATTATAAAAATAAAAAATTGTGTCAAAAAAGTGTTTATTCGAAATTTGTTCAGTAAACAATTATTACCTAACTTTACATATTATATCATAGATTTTTATTGCGTCAAGAAAAATGGTTATTCAAAATTTATTTCATAAATGTTCATGAATTTAAGTTTATTAATAAAAAAAAAGAATATTTTATTTTGTATGTTCCAGGTTCTTGCAGGTTTTTCGCTTGGTTCAGATTCTTTATGTCGTCTATTATCTTTGAATTGACATGAAATTGATCCAATATTTGGTTTAAAAGGCTATAAGACTTCAAGAAGGTCAAGCGCCTATATTAGATATCAATTTTAGATATTTTTATTTATAATTTAATTTGATAAAAACAATAAATAAGTTATATTTCATAAAGAATTTTTTAGTATT